GTGTGACCAGCTGCCATGACATATGTTTCGTCCGAGCAAAGGGACTCAACAAATTCAATTTATATATGTGGATTTTTTTTTTTTTGATGGTTGGATTTGGATTTTGTTTTTTTTTTGTATTCTTTATTTTTTTTTCAAGAAACATAGTATTTCTAGAGCAGATCCTTACATGCTTATTGTTTTTTATGTGTTCATGGATTGTTTCGTAGGTTTGTATGTTTGTACGCAGATCGTTGATTATTATTGTTGTTGCTGTGTTGTTGTCGGTATATGGTTTTGTCGGAGATTTTGTTCTTGTTTTCGTCGTTCTAGAATATGAAAATAATTGTTGTTCATGTATGGATGAGAAATTTTTTGATCTTTTGGAATCATACTAGTAATTGGTCTGTTCTGTAGTAGTCTGTTTGTGGGTCTTTTTTTCTAATGAGTTCATGTGTTGCATCGCGACGATTACGGTTGCCGACTATCATTTTGACATGTTCGACCGGTGTGTCCGTGAAAACTTTCTCATATAATTTGTGCATATCTTGTTTCATTGATTGAAATCTTTTCTCATGTGTGTAATGTATGATGATTTGGTGTGCATCGTATTGGTTTTGAGCAGGATTTTGATTTATTGTTTTCTTCGATTTACTGTTGATGTCATCTGTTTGATCGTTGTCGAGGTCGGCTGTGGCTGCACTTAGTGCCACTTGTGATTGTCTGGATGTTGGTTGGCCTAATAGTTTGTTATGCATTAGGAAAAATTGTTCGACATTGTCAATAATAGGTAAAAATGACATTGAAGATGTATATTCATAGAAGAATTTTTGAATCTCTTTATCAATAAATGTCGATGAATATCTAATCAGTAATATATTAGTGAAATTTAACATATATGAAATAAAGAAAAAGAAAGACTCACCCATTATATAGTAGTCTTAATTGAATATAGCGTCGTTCATTATTGAAATTTTCAAATGTAGATGAGTATCTTAGAGCACGTGAAAGACTGGTTTGTATAACATTGACGAAGACATGTCGAGGACGATCAGATCTGAATGGTACAACATAAGATTCAGCAGCTGGTTTGTGATATACCGATGTTGTTAGAATGCCATTATTGTTTGTAAAAGAAACATCAAGAAATGGAAGACTTTTACCGATGCTGTATTCTAATTTAATATTTAGATGCCATTTGTTTGCATCATCTAATAAATCTTTTAACGATTTTTCTGATTTATTCCATGTCATAAAAATGTCATCAATGTATCTAAGAACAAAAAAATTGAAATAAAAATTTTTAGTCTGATTTTTCTTTTCTGTACGTACCGGCCATAAAATTCATCTGTCATATCCTGTCGTCGAACAAGTTCTTTTTGCCATTTCCACATGAAAATATTTGCTAATGTTAATGTAAATGATGAACCCATAGCACCACCAAGAACTTGTTTATAAATTTTTTTATCATAGACAAAAACATTTTCTTTTAATACAATAGCAGCTAATTCTCGAATTGTTTCGAGATTAATACCTTTTACTTTAGTGTAACCATAGAATTGAAGAAATTCAACTAGAATATCAAGTGCTTCATCTTGTGGTAACATTGTATATAAATTCCGAATATCAAATGTACAAAAAAGTGTTGTTGGTTTCACGAGACCTTTTTTAATATATTTAAGAAGTTCTTTAATTAAAGAAGCTCCATCAATAATAGTTGTTGAAGCACATTTTTCATCAAATATAGGTCGTATGATTTTATCTAGAAATTGTGATATATTTCTTGTTGATGAATGTATTGTACTTTCGATTGGTCTAACTGGTATGCCATCCTAAAAATGTATACATCGAAAAAAAAAACAAATTCTATCAATATTTATTCAAAACAAAAAGTCTATATTACCTTATGAGTTTTTGGATTAAAATATAAATGTGCTAGCTCAGAGTTTTCTCGATCGGGCATCATTTCATTATATTGCCATTGTAAAATAAATTGTTTTGAACGTAATCGATTGAGTAATTGAATAACATGATCTTGAATTTGATTGAATGGATTAATTGAAATTTCAATAAAAGCATTTGTTTCTTGGAAAAATTTTTCAGCTTTCTTTTCAAATTCACTTGCTGAACCAATATAAAAATTATTACCCTTATCAGTAACACGAAGAATGAGATCATGTTTTTTAATTTTTTGTCGAATTGTTGCAGTCTTTTGTGCTTGTTCAAACACTTCAATTTGTTCTTTGCATGATAGCGGAGTAAAATAACATTGATTGAAATGATCAAAAACATCATTCGAATAGTCTGTTAAAATACGTGCTTTGCATGGGATACTATGTTTTTGAATAAGATGACTGTGAACTTTTTCTGTAATTTCTTTATGTTCATTTTTAATTTCAGCTTCTTGATGCTTTACAGGACGAATAGCACTTTGATTTAATCGTATAAATGATGGGCCTAAAAGTAATAAAAATTTTATCTAAAGAAACAAAAAAAAAAAAATTCTAACCAAGTGAAAGATGATTCCATTCATTTTCATTGAATGGATTCGTAAGTAAATCAAGATA